AAGGCGAGAGAACCGAGAAATACTGAAGAATATTTTCAGAAGTAGTGCTTTGGGATTACCTGAATGATGTTGGCTTTGTGTTTGGTCTGTTGTACAGCAAGTCGTATATTGAGGTGCTTTCTACATGGGTATCATTTTAGTATAGGGGAATCTTGGCTCTAAGATTGAATTTTAATGAATCGGCTAGTTAATAACACTTCATAGACAAAGTTGTTACAAACACTTGTCCTTTAGGATACAGTCATTATGGGGTGATACTTGGACATCAGTATTTCTACAGTTTCTCTCACCCTATGCTATTGGACGTGTACAGAGAGTTGAAATACATTTCCCATTTAGAAAGAGACGAAGGCAATAACAATAAACATCGAACAATTCAAGAAACGACATGCGACGTCAATCATTAATACATCGAGAAAATAAAAAGCACACATTTAGCTGGCACTTTGGATGAGAGTTTGTAAGTCCTGGATAACCTTGAAGTAAAGAAACTCCCACACGATGAGTTGACCTTGACAGTTGATGTTGATAGCATGCATACAATTTTGGATGTACAACTGCATTCAAGGTCATCATGTTAGCAGTTAGAGGAATTGGAGAATAAACCCATCGACCTTGAGATCTTAAACTTACTTTATAATTACTTTCAAGGTCACTCTGTTAGGCAAGATACCTCATGTGTTCAAGGTCAATCTTCGTAATGGTTGTGACAAAACGATAAGCCTTGAAGGGAAATAGACCTGGTTTCTCGACTTTGAGAGTTGTTAAGACTAAAACTGCACCCTGAAGGTCAAGTGAATGTCAAATTATTGACGAAAAAAAGTCCGAACTTCAGTAACTTCAGCAAGGATTACAATATTAACATTTGATTTGACCTTGATAACACTAAAATAAAGAAACACACAATAAGTTGTCCTTGAGAGTAGATACATACAATTTTGGATCTGAAATGACATTCAAGGTCATCGAGTCGGCAGTTAGTGGAGTTGGAGAATAAACACATCGATCTTGAGTGATGTGATGGACGTAACATCAAACTTACTTCACAATGGCTTCTAAGGTCAGTCTGTTAAATAAGATACTTCATGTATTCAAGGTCAATCTTCATAATGGTTGTGACCTCCAATACTCGTTTTCAATGACAAGACGACAAAGCTTGAAAGGAAATAGACCTGGTTCCTCGACTTTGAGAGTTGGTGAGACTAAAACTGGAATCAATGTTACCCCTGAAGGTCCAATGAAGGTCAACTTTATTGACGAAAAACGGTCCGAACTTTAGTAAATTTTAGCAAAGATTAGAATATTAACATTCGATTTGAGTTTGATGACCTTTAAATGAAGAAATACCCATACCATAAGTTGACCTTGAGAGTGGATATTGATAGTAGTATACATACAATTTTGGATCTACAATTACATTCAAGGTCATCATGTTAGCAGTTGGTGGAATTGGAGGATAAGCACATCGACCTTGAGTCATGTGATGGATGTGATCTCAAACCTACTTTACAATGACTTTCAAGGCCACTCTGTTAGACAAGATACTTCATGTATTCAAGGTCAATTTTCATAATGGTTGTGACCTCCAATATTGGTTTTCAATGACAAGACGATAAGCCTGGAGAGGAACTAGACCTGGTTCCTCAACTTTGAGAGTTGTTAAGACTAAAACTGATATCAATGTCAAGGTCAAATTTCTTGACGAAAAAAAGACGGAACTTTAGTAACTTTTAGCAAGAATTATAATATTAACATTCGAATTGACCTTGATAACCATGAAATAACGAAACACTCACACAGTAAGTTGACCTTGAGAATGGATATTGACAGAATCTATACAATTTCGGATCTACAATGACATACAAGGTCATCATGTCGGCAGTTAGTAGAATTAGAGAAAAAGGGCATTTGACCTTGAGTCATCTGATGCATGTGATATCAAACTTACTTTACAATGACGTTAAAGGTCACTCTATTAGATATTTCATCCAAAGTCAATCTTCACAATGGTAGTGACCTTAGGTATTCATTTTGAACAACAAAGCGGCATACCTTGAAGGGAAATAAAACTGGTCCTCAACTTTGAGATTTGTTGATATTAAATTTCTAGTAATCCATAGACCTTGAAGGCAGCCACCTGTCAACTAAATGCAATAACTCACAAAGTCGACAAGGTCATATATCTGGAGAACATCAGCTTTAAGGATATGAACTGTAGAGTATGATAGAACATCATAATTTTGAAGGACACTCAAAACCAAATAAACCTGAACCTGTGGTTCTAATCCTTCAAGGTCATTTATTCAGAACGAACAAACTTCTTCCATTATTATTGCTTGATAATAGTTTCCCGCATAATATTTTTACTGTACTTCATGGGGCTGATAACAGGTTCATGCTGAAACACGGTAGAAACCCTGATATATGCATTCACTTTTGTTCAAGGTAGCCTTTATTATGTGAGGATGTACTACCGATTATTTTCGTGCTGATACACATTTTTGGGAACAAAGGTATAGCGCAAAAAAACTATAATTTGTTTGACTGTATTTGTTGTTAGGTAGATGAAATGTCTTTGCATCAAGTGAGATTAAATTGTAGATGGTGTTCAAACTACTGGTACTGTTTATGTATCCCCAATAATACCAAGAAGCAGATATTGATAGTCCAACAAATACAGAGAAACTTTGACACCAAAGGCTTTAGAACTACGGGAATTTGGATGATCCATCACACAGTGTGCTGAGAAGACAATGGAAAATACGTCGAAATAGTTGTGGTTAAAAGAAGCCTCAAACATTTTTTAGAATTTCGTTATTTATCATGCTCCGAATATCATAAAAAAGGTAACCAAAACGGAACCGAATTTCAAAATACGCACACGTTTTAAATTTTCTCTTTTATAATTTTACGTTTACAAAAAAATAGGTTTAAACTATACACTCTATCTACAAAAAATCGTTTAACAATATGCTTAACACTAACACAAACGTATTGTGATGTCTATAACACATCATAGTATGTTTGTTTTTTGTTAAATGTTTATCGCAGTCTCTTTTTTGTTTGTATTTTTAGGGGGGGGGGGAGAGGGATGGGAACAACTTTCTGCGTGGCCTGGATTTTAGGATTATTTTGGAAACGACCAAACGTAGCTTCTGACATTTTAAAATGACGCCGATTAAAACATCTCAATCAAAAATATTTGCTACGCATCTTCCTATAAAACCTTTACGTATTTTGTGACAGATAGTACTGGTAAAATAAGGCCAATGTCAGATCTTTACTTTGAATGGTGACCTTGAGTCTCCATCCAAGGTTATTTCAGGATCAACTTTGGTTTTTTAGGTCTTGATTGCATTTGTACATTAATAAGCAATCGCATGTGGTTGTTACTTCTATGCGCCATATTTTATAGGTAATAGTTAAAAAATGACTCAAAATAGTGTTAGAAACCACGATCATCTGTTTCCAATGGACAGGTTGGGGAGCTGGATCCGACATAACAATGCTACAAAGTGCGCTGACTGTATGCGTGTTACAAACAAAAGCAGCAGAAATGTTCATCTTTTACATTCCAATTAGGTTTTTCTCTATTAGTACAAAAATAATAAATTTTGTTTTTGGTGAGATTCTTTCCCGGATAAGCTTACAACCATTTTCGATTCCGCATTTCAGTAAAACATCTCGATCACAGCGTGTTTTATCTACAAAAAGTACAAAACATCTCGTACCAGTCCAGCGGAACTTGGAAATAGTAGAGGAAAATCGCATAAACAATCTTACTGCCAAACACACAGATAAGATAAAAATTGGCAACCTTGCTCATTCGTAGTACAGTTGCCATTTTCTTTAGTTTTTATTGTTTTTGTGTAATTCATATTTTTGGCAAGAATAATCTTGGAAGCTTTTGGCCTCTATTCAAGTAAATTATATCGTATAAATTCGGCAGTAAAATTCGTTATGAAATATTCGACTTTACTATTTAAGCTGATCAAATAGAATTTTAAGGGGTGGACTTTTTAGGATTAGAAGTGGTAATTTATGATAGACGAGCTCATCCTTATTGCAGCAGCTTAGTTATGAGGTGCTGCGAAAAATTGTATCTGCAAAATATGGGCACTGGATATTAGCTTCCCAAATTTTATTAATCACAATCCAGTTCAAAAATTTTCAGTATATTCCAAATTTTTAAGGTTATGAAAATTATCAAAAATCGCAGATTCTTCGAAACATCCAAAATATTTAAATTCTTAAAAAATTCCAAAATTTTCGAAATACTCGGGTTCAAAAATTTCTAAAATTTTCTTGGATTTTAAAAATTTCAAAAATATCCAAAATTCCCAAAATTTTCAAGATAATATAACCTCATAATTTTCAAAATTTTCAAATATTTTAAAACTTACAAAATTTTCAGAATTTCCAAAATTTTCGAAATTTTCAAAATATCTAATCAAAATTTACAAGATTCTCAATATTTTTAAAATCTTGAAAAAATTCAGTTATAAATTTTCATATTTCAATGTATTCAAAATGCTCAATTTTTTCAGAATTTTACAGATTTTCAAAATTTTCAGAATTTTCGATTTTATAAAAATTTTCAAAAATTGAGATTTTAAGATTTTTCAAAAATTAAAAAAATCTCATCAATTTCAAATATTTAAAAAAATTAATAAAAATCAAATATTTTAAAAACATCAATGATTCCAAAAATTTCAGATATTTCAAAAAGTTCTACGTTTTTAAATATTTTAAAGTTTTTCAAAAATCAAAATTTAATTACAAGAGTTTTGGATATTTCAAAAATTACAGAAAAATTCGAAAGTTTCAAAAATATCAAAAATTGCAAGAACTTCCGTTGATTTCAAAAATCGCATACATTTGGAAACTAAGAAGTTTCATAAATGTAAAAAATATGAAACATTTGGAAAATTTAAATGATTTAAAAAAATCCAAAAAACCTAACCAAAAAAATTTGAAATTTTGATAAATTTCAGAATAATGCCATAATCAGTTTCTAAAATATTAAAAATTTTCAATATCAAAAATATTCTCGAAATTTCCAATATTTCCAAAATTTTCAGTTTTCAAAATTTTAAAAATTTTCAATATTTTCAAAATTTTCAAAATTTTTAATATTTTAAAAATATTCAAAACTTTCAAAATTATCTTGGATTCAAAAACGACGAGTCCTTTCTATCACAACAACTCACCATTTATAAAACGAGTAAATACTTGAAAATTCGAATTAGACCAGCCCAATTTCGGAAATTCCACCGGACGGCGTCGGCCGAAACACATTTCAAAAAATGGCACTTACAGGGCAAATATGACTGAATACTGCTACGTACACATATATATGTATATCTACAAAACTGTTTACGATGATGGTGGGGGCAACAGTACTATCAACAGTACTTTCATCAGTAGTACAACCAACTAAAGTGTGTGTGTAGGTGACGAGTGGCCCGCAGTGTGTACCTTGTGGTATTCCCCGGATTCATTGCATAACGCATTTACTTTCTATTTGAGACCTCAGTTCGCTTACTTGCGTTTCTATTGTGTTCTTCAGTTCTGAAAAAGCCAAAAATATTCTATGGGAAAGGTTCAAATCAAGTGGAAAGAGACACGGTTGGTTAGTAGATCGATAAGCGACATATTACTATTTCGTGACAGAATAATATACGTTTCTTGATGATATTAGAGTCATTTCAAAACTAGATCAAAAAATTGTTGCTTATTTTGTATACAATAGAACAAATGTCTCAAAATTAGATATTATAAAGACAGTTGATTGGTTACAAGGAAGTTTATGCCGAATAGTCTAAAATTGTTGCTATTTTATGCTTCTGATATAGCTTTGTATTATGAGTCTTTGGATCGATCCATTTGTGTTTCCGAATATTAATTATACTACTTTTATATGAGCGCATGATCGTAATACTCCAAACTTCAAACCTATATACTGAGATACAAAACATAAATATGGTATAAGAAAATATGTGTTCGTAAAAACATATAAGTCGTAGTCATAATCTTGTAGACACGTGATTCAACTTTTGTTTTCATAGTGATCGCATTCTTTTTTGAATATGGCTTGCGCCTCAGAGTGTTTTATTATAGATTTGAATTACGAAGTGTTTTGATCATGCGTTTATACAATGAAATGAATATGCAAAAATGTGTGAATTTTAGACAAAAATGTAAATATTGCGAACTTTGGGCTTTTATAGAAGAATCAAGTACTGAAATGTAAATAAAAATTTCATAAAAGGGATCAACTTAAAATTTCAGTTACTTTAAGGGTAAAAAAACCCTGAAAATGTTTCTTCAATTTATCGACTATAAAAAAGTATATAAATCTTTTGGAAACGGTATTTTAGTAACTTTCAGGAATAATTTTAAGTGAAAAAGTTTTTCCAGGTTCCACATTTTTTTTTTAATATGTATTGGCCACATCAGATTGATGCCATGTGAGAGAGTGTTCAAACACATTCAAGAGATTGTGCAACATCTTGTGTAGGCTTGTATTACAAATATTCAGGCAATTCAAGAATACTATTCTGTCACTTGTGAAATCAACATGCAAAAAACATATCGTGGTGGAATAAATATAAGAATAAACTATACTTACTCAGCAAAAAAGAAAAGAAACACGAAAACTGATGAAATAAAACAAAATAAAATAATAGTTGCAAAAATTTATTTATAAAAATATAAACAAATAAAAACAATAAGTATCTAGCTAAGAAAACATTAAAGAAATAACAAATGATCTAGACAGTTTATGTGTTACATAGATATACAGAGGAAATATAGAAATTTTGTTTGCTACTAAAACACAAATAAACATTTAACAGCAGAGATTTAGAAACAGAAAAACAGCAAAGATATTTTATGAAATAAGACTCAGATGACAGTTTTCCTTCATTGAAATAAGAATAATAGAGAAGTTAAAACTAGCTAAGCTCTCACTTTAACTTACCCACATTCTGGAAACAATAGAGGAAAAATATTATCATCATCTTTCATACTGTACGTATTTTTTTGGCAACACAGCTTTTTGTTTGGATTTCTCATATTGTCATTTTTCATGCCTATTGGCATATATATTTTAACTGTTTGGAAATGTTCATCAATTTGGTCACTATACAAAGAACCCTTGAACAGAAACGATAGGATACCTGATATATATTACAGTGACCAAATCTGTATAATAATATTAATAATAGCATTTCTATAATTTTAACAGTAAGCTTAAAAGGGGATATAAAACACCTATAGGTAGTAAAAATATCTAAATCTTTGTGAAAACAGAATTTGTGCAAAAATTGTGTAAGTAGTGCGTATATTACGAACACAAAAAACAATAGTGGTGACTATGGTTCTATATCTAAGCCAACAGATAGACTCGCAGAGGTTTGGCAGTTCAGTTTGTGTTATTGCTGAGCAGATTTACTCTTAAACTACAGACATTTGTAGTTTTGTTGTCGAAATTAAAATACTTCGTAGAGTCTTGCAGCAAGAATGAGAAAAATTAGACGAGGTATTGTCCAAACCAAATGTGAGCCTACTTTGGAGGTGTGTAGGGTACATCTAGAGATACGTGAAGAGATTTAGCCTATGGTGAAATCTATTTTAACCAATTTTTTATAGAAACGATTTGGAGCCTTGTGTAGAACCCTGTCTTTTCTTAAGTCTTTTATGTGCAAAATGATTGTATTGCCCTTAATATGCAAACTTCCAGTTTCTACCTGCGTTTTCTTAATTTCATCGGTAAATGCAAATATGTAAAGGAAGCAACATTTTGTGGGTTGAAAATAACCTTCCCATTCTTAGATGCTCAGCCAAAAGCTCGAGCCTTAAGATCGTAGTACCACTTTTGCCTTGACATCATCCTTGACCGGGTTCTCGAAGGTTATTTCAAGGACATACTGCCATCCCAAGTTTTTATTCTGGAAATCGTTGGTTTATAGGTTTAAAAATATCCTTGAACATGAATCAATAATCCCTTAGACAGGTGATTTATTTTGCAGGTCATGATTCCCTTTTTAAAGATAAAATCAAGTTATGTGCTGGCAACATCCAACACTAGAAGTTCACACTTTATCTTTCTGAAGAGTAAAGGTATGTGATAATGCATTGTTATGGTCAAAAAGTGACATCAAAAATTTGGTCTCATGGCGAAGTGAACGAGGACCAGAGAGTGACCTCCTAAACATATTTGCATTAATTAACTCTCCCCATCTTTCTGAAATGCAACTAAATACGAATGTTCCCACAACCACGTTAGATTAATTGACTCTATTGTACTCCAAATCGCACAAACAGGGGCTCTGTGGAGCTTTGGTCGTAACCAACTACATGACACTACATCTTTTCGCTATGGTCTGCCTAAATCTTTTGAAGCACTCACTTGTGAACTCGTCTTCATCCGCTTCTTCCGCCTCTCGCGCGAGTTCTTCGGGCGTTTTCTTCTTCCTCATCAGCGGGTTTGGCTCCTCTTGCACTGGCTCGACTATTTCCTCCTTTTTCTTTATGTTATACTGAAAGGAAACGGTTTTCCATTATAACCAAATCGTATAGCCTTATAGACGAGGGAAAAAGCCGACAGATGGACCGACAGAGTAATAATAATAATATTTATTCACTCAATGTACAAAGAGAACAAACATGAGTAAATAAATATAAAATCAAAACAGGCCCATTAGAAGGTATTTTCTGTACAAGGTGGAGAGTCAGCTTACGCTGTTTTTCAATCCGATCTAAAGACATACACATAATTGATAATCTACTATAAAAAAAGTACATAAATTTAAAATGACACTGTTCGTAATATTGATCACCAAAAAAGAAATGCTTAAGATATTTCACTTCTCAGAAAAAGGAAACAATTAATTATTGCTTTTCTTAAAGTTGCTTAGACTGGATTCTTTATACTCAATTGAAAAGCAGTTATACAGGGTGTAAACGTTATAATAGTCATAACTTAAGTGGGGGCGTTAAAAGAAGCAAAAGGTTTCATATAACATGGGGGTCATAACGGCATTTTTTTAGAGAAAAGCGATTTTAAGATAAAATAAAATTTGACGACGCCGCAATGCCAGATGCAAATTACGATGGAACGCAGTGTAAATAAAGATGGAGTTTGTTATTTTTGGCTCTTAGGTATTAATAATAATAATATAATAATAATATTTATTCACTCAATGTACAAAGATAAGAAACAATATGAGTAAATAAATATAAAATCAAAACAGGCCCAATAGAAGCCATCGCCTGTACATGGACCAATAGAATGCAAATGACAAAAAAAGGACAAAAATTAGCCACAGTAGATTATGCATCTACTTGATGTTCGTATTCATGAGTCTATGAATTTCAGTCCTAGATATAGAATGTAGCCACTTTTTTAAATTTCTTTTGAAACTATTTCCGAAACGTATACCTTTTAAGTCTTTAGCTATAATTTCATAAAATTTTGGCGCTTAATAGAGATATGACCGCTGCATTATAGATTCATGCGGCTGAGGAACTACTGTTTCAAGAATTCAAATAATTGAAAATGGTTTTGGAAATCTCCAAAGGGATCAAAACATAAATGTTCGTCAGCGCAGATTTACCCGTATGATTCTGCGTGAGTTTGATAGAGATCCGACGACAAGTGTTAGGAGAGTTTCTGGTGCCTTGGGAATTTCAGCAAGCCATGTTCACCGTGTTCTTAGAAATGACCATAGACGTCCTTACCATTTGCAACCTGTGCAAGGACTACAGCCAGGGGACGGAGAACGAAGAATCACATTTTGTCAGTGGATTCTTGATAGAACTGATAATAATAGGGAGTTTTTGAGTAACGTTTTATGGACCGATGAGTCATGCTTCACTAGACGTGGAGTGGTAAATTTTCATAATCAACATATTTGGTCGCATGAAAATCCGCATGCAGTTCGGGAAAGAAATTTTCAGCATGAATTTAGTGTGAACGTGTGGATTGGTATCTACCGTAATCGACTATTTGGACCCTACACCTTTTGCCTGCAAGGTTAAATGCTGCGACCTTCTTGGAATTTTTAAAGACTGAACATGCAAATATGTGGGATGATGTTATGTTAGATTTAAGAAGATTGGCCTGGTTCCAGCTTGATGGTTGTCCAGCTTATTATTCGAGAATAGTTAGAAACTGGCTGGACGAAAATTATCCAGAAAGATGGATCGGCCGTGGAGGATCAGTCGCCTGGCCTCCACGATCCCCTGACCTAAATCCATTAGATTTCTTTGTGTGGGGATTTCTAAAAGAAAAAGTGTACCAGACTCCCGTAACCACAAGAGATATGCTAATAGACAGAATTAGGAATGCATGTGATGAAATAAGGCCTTATTTGAATAATGCTATACCACGTTCGATCATTCGTAGATGTGAATTGTGTATTGAACAATTGGGTTTACATTTCGAGCAACTACTTTAGATTTTGTATGTTTGTCCTAACTATCCAATAGCATTTTAGTTGTAAATAATTAATTTAATTTGTTAAAAATAATATTGGAAAATTAAACAAATTAATATTCTGTTTTTTTGTGTTTATTTGGAGTTAGGAATTATTGCTCTGTTTAAAAACACAATCTAAATGATCAGCTTAATAACTTCTAATGCCCAAATCGAAAATGTAAAAAAAATATTATTTTCCCATAAATAATTAAAAATGCATCGAACCTTAAAAATCGAAATATCTCAAAAACGGCTAACTATAACGAAAACTCACAGGAAAGCTTTTTTATGTTGAAAAGTGCAAACAATCAGTTTTTTTTATTCAAAAAGCAAAAAATTGCACTAAGAAAAAATTTTCGGTCATTTTAATACACTACAGGTAAAGTAGAGAGCGCCCTCTAGCGGCTACAGTAAAACTATGCCCATGGTTCGTTTTGTCGTACCAAAAAACCTTTGTTTACCAATTTTCACTGTTATACATCAAATATTGTTCGAAATATTTAAAAAAAAAACATTTTAGAAAGTAAATTTAAACACCCTGTATTTCGGAAGCCACGCATTTTTCGATCCATGTTTATATAGACTTTATGCATTAGTTTTAAAGGTTCTATCGAATCTTAAAGTTATGCAACAATAAACTGAAACACCCTGGATACCAAAAATTATTAAAATCGTATAGAGATACGTAAGTTACTTAGTATAATTACTAAAATTTGACGAATATAGCTTACTTTTTCTTGGATGGTAGCTCATAGCAACAAAATGCTAGTTAGGACCGACAGACTGACCGACGGAAATAAGTGAAACGGTTTCTTGTAATGACGTGTCAAAAATCATCAAAATAACATTTCGTTTTAAAAGTTTGTCACGCCTACAGTACTTCCTCGCCAGTGGCGTAGGGCGTAAAAAAATCAGAACGTAAACATTTTTCAGAACTAGGCGTATTTTTTAAGACATTTTTGTGTTTGACCATTTTGCAACTTTCTTATCAGCTAAGCCTGATGTTTCGAAATCCGGATATTTTCCGCTTTCACTTACCAGTAATGAAATGTTTGAATGAAATTATTGAGTCATCCCACTTGACTCTATCTTTTGGTGTTGTTGCTATTCAGGTATTCGACGTCTGTTCTGAATTTCAAATTGTATAAAAGGGTTACCATTCCAACTGTGAAAAGAGGAAATCTACAGATGCGAAATCCCTTCCTAAGATGAAAGCGCACAACTGAGCAGAAACTCCTTAAAAAGTTTTGCATAAGTACGCATGGAACCGTTGGAATTCAAAAAGTTTTATTACGGACATATTTGTCTAGAAATTACGTTCAAGTACTCTAGTCGAATACAAAGGAAATATGAAAAATATTGCTTTCGTCTATTCTTTGAATTATCCTTTATGTCTGGGTTTATAAATTGAAGCTTCAGCAAGTTTTAAAGTTTTCGATGAAAATACAGACTTTGTTGGATATCGCAGGCAAATTGAAGTAGGAACAATGAAAATATTTAAAAACTTATTAGGAAAGAGACGATAGAAGAAGTGCGAGTCATGGAAAACTGGTCTTAAAAATTCTTTCGTTTTGTTTTGCCTGGATAAAGAAGTGAGATGAACAGTTTCGGAAATTGGAAATTTCTCCGACTACGCCCAGAAGTGATTATAAATAACACTGGTCAACAAAATTTTAACTTTGTCGTGCCACACTTACTTTTTTGATATTTTTTACTTTAATTGGTGATTGTAAGAAAAAATAAACAGTTAAAAAAATTTGCTAGACAAGGATTTTATTCTATTGAGTAATTTAAAATATTAAGAATAAACACAGATCTCGTAAATCAAAAGTTATTTTTTTTATGAATGCCTTAATAATCTAAGATTTTCTTGAATATTTAGCTTCTGGTTGGTCCCTTTTAATTGGCCAGCAGTAATCTGCTAACATATTTGGGCTCCATTTGCCCTGGTACCGCTTTTCCATATTAGAAATGTCCTGATGGAACCTCTCACCCTGCTCCGTCGCTGACAGCCCCTAAATTGTCAGGAAAAAAATCCAGGTGCGAGTCTAAAAAATGGATCTTAAGTGACATGTTGCAACCCAATGCTTGATATGACAATAATAGCTCGCTAACCAACTCTCTGTAGCTGTCACTCTTGTGGTTACCCAAAAAATTTGAAACAACATTTTTAAAAGCCTTCCATGCAGATGTTTCTAAATCGCTTAATTTTTCTTCAAATCTTGAATCTTTTATTAACTCCCTAATTTGAGGGCCAACAAAAATACCCTCTTTTATCTTTGCATCACTTATTTTAGGGAATTTTTCTTTTAGATACAAAAATCCACTCGCATTGCGATCCATTGCCTTCACAAAATTTTTTATTAATCCTAATTTGATATGCAATGGTGGTAGAAGCACATTATTTGGCTGTACAAGGGGTAAATACTTTACGTTTTTTTACCCAGGAACTAACGATGCACGCGTAGGCCATGTTTTTTTATATAGTGATTAGTTCTGTCTCGGCTATCCCATTCACATAAAAAGCAGCAAAACTTTGTATAACCCAGCTGAAGTCCAAGTAATAGTGCAACAACTTTAAGATCACCGCAGATTTTGAAGGAATATGTACTGTAATTTATTTTTTCAAGTAAAAGTTTCATATTTTCATAGGTTTCTTTCATATTTGCAGCATGGACCAGAGGTACAGACGGAAGTTTATTTCCATTATGCAATAACACTGCTTTTAGACTTGCTTTCGAAGAATCAATGAATAAACGCCACTGAGAGAGATCAAAATCTATGTCCAACATTTTCATAATCTCATTTATGTTATTGCAAAACACCAAATCTCCATCCTGAGAAAAATACGTTCTGAAGTGTTGATCACGGTTTCGAAAATAGCTAACTTTTGTATTATGATGTAGCAAATTCCATTCTTTTAGACGTGATCCTCATAGTTCTGACTGTTTTTTTGACAAATTTAAATCCCGAACCAAATCATTTAGGTCTCCTTGAGTTGTCAAATGTGGCTCGTTTACAATTCCTTTTAACTCAAAGTCATCGTCCTCGTCAACACATTCACCTGAAGTGGACGGTTGTGAATTGTTCTCAACAGACGTAGATGCAACTCGTATTAGTTCTGGCAATTTTTTACAATGAGAGACTGGTCTTATAGCCGAAGATAAGTTAGGGTAAATAACTGTGTTTTTTTTCTTGTAATTTATACCTTTTATGTCTGTGAGACAAAAATAGCAATCTGAAACGTGATCTCGCTGTTCAGTCCATATCATGGGTACAGCAAACGGCATAGGTCGTGCACCTTTCTTCCAGTCAGTTAAATTTTTCACACACGTTATGCAACAGACATGAGGGGCCCAGGATTTGTCTTGATGGGCGACAGAAAAACCAAAACATTGGTGATAACACTCCAACACAAGATTCGTAAAATTTCGTCGTTGTTTTTTGAATGTTAGTTCTCCGCAGACATAACAAAAAGAGTTAGGATCATTATTACACTTCCTCGACATATTCACAGGGTTAATAAATCACAAAAAAGTGTTCAAATTCAACAACAAATATTTTTATAAGGATTTACTTGTAAGCGTTTCTGTTAATTTACTGCCGTAGTACTAGTTATGAGTATTACCGTATCACAACAAATATGAGGCTAATAGACATATGACAGCTGTCATGTAAGGGTAGACTGATAAAACAAAATTAGCTATCAAAGTTCGTGTGGCAAAACCAGTGTTGACCAGTGTAATCGAGAAATTTCGGAAAACCAAGTTACAGATTTTCTAAAGATTTTTACCTTTCCAAAACTCTCTTCTATCCTTGGCATGGTAGTCACTGTGTGGAATTTTAATTACAATTCGGATACAAGTAGTTATAAACGGACAAATATTACCAGCAGCAAATAGGTAGGTAAAATGACGAAGATATACAGGGTGACGTGAAAATTGATGCGGGGACGGTGGGGGGAGATAGTACAAGCCAATCTGAGTCGAACGGCCGCCTCCTTTGTTCATCAGCCATTGTTCATCGATAGGTAGATCAACGAACAATCAAGTCATACAGCAGCCAAGCCGTAAGGAATCACAGATAACAGGGTACAGTCTAGGTCGTCAGGAAAACAATCACGCACGGAAGTCCAACAAGAGCCAAGTCGTTATAAATATCAAAACAGCGAGCAAACAAACACATCCGAATGCAACAAATCGCAAGAGCAGATTGAAGCGAGGGAGGGAGGGGGGGTGACTAGTCTTACTTATCACACTATTCCAGTGGCAAAGTCCGATGTTCGCGGCTCTACCTGTTTCTTTCACTCATATCTTTGTCATTTCTAAACCGGTTTGTGACTTTGATACCTCATTTGAAAGGTAATGAAACGTAGATATTTTAAAATTGTTTTGCACGAAAAATTTGTAGGTTTCTTTTTTTAACAAAAATCGAACTATTTTGAAGCTTACTGCATGAGATAACGTATCAATTTTCGTATTTTAGAATATTTTTATTGTAAAATCAAAAAAAATCAAATGAAACACCCAATTTTCAAGTTTCATGACTTGGTTAACGTATAAGGAACGTTAATTTTATAAAATCTTAAAAATTAGTATAACTCGAAAACGGCTAATTTTCGGACAGTAGTTCCTATAGTAAAATCGACTCAGATTCGCTTGTACTATCTCCCCGCACCGACTCCGCATCTATTTTCCCGTCACCCTGTATAATAAAGTTAAAAGTTTTATGAAAATCCTGATATCACGTTTCTTGCATAATTTCATAATTTCGATTGAACCGCTACAATAGGTTTACAGTTTGACAAATAAAAATTTGATGACAACGGATCGAAAAAGTATAAGGTCTACCCGTGAAATAAATACATTTTTATTCTTTTGAAAAAAAGTTCTACTCAAAGGGTAATTAAAAATGGTTTGTTTTATTTAATACGCTTTCATTAGCTTGGACTGTATGTATATATGTATCTATGTATGTATGTACGTACGCATGTCACGGAATCTTTGAGCATAATTTTCACCAATGTCCAGAAGTTTTAGGATCGCCAGGATTGACAAATTCTTTTATATACTAAGTGACATATAAATCCGAACACCCAGTTTAAATGGTTTTATTTTAATAAAAGTTGGTGAATGTATTTATCTTACTGTAAATAACAAGTGAAAAAATTTTCAGCCTTATCAGTTGGACATTCCGGTTTTTATACTGCTTTTTTTTAATTCACTAACGCTCTAAAAATGAATATTTCAGCCGCAGTAAAGAATCAACGTTGGCGGATTTTGGTTCTTGACATCCTTTACGATCGGTTACGATGCCTAGAGTACGGAGACCTGTACGATTTCGTCAACTTAGTGAGTTTGATAGGGGCTGTATAGTGGGACTTCGGGAAGCTGGACTTTCTTTTCGGGCAATTGCAGTTAGAGTGCAAGGAAGTGTAGACACTGTGGTTAGGTGTTGTCAGGCATGGCTTCGAGAAGGCCGTACGCAAAGAGCAAGGGGCACTGGACGCCGCCGTAGAACAACAGACCGTGAAGATCACCGCCTAAGATTATTGGCCTTAAGGGACCGTTTCTCCACTACCAGGTCCATTGCCTAAAGGAATGGTTTGCAGAACACGGAAGACCTATTGGCATGCGAAGTGTTTACCGACGAATGAGAAGTTTTGGCTTGTTTTCATACCGGCCACACTGGGTCCTCCCTTTAACTCGAGAACACCGACGTAATCGCCTTGAGTGGTGCAGACAACGGTCACTCTGGGATCAGGAATGGAACAGTATTGTCTTTAGTGACGAGTCTCGATTTTGTTTAGGCATGCACGATGGTCGTGCCAGGGTAAGAAGGCGACGTGGTGAAAGATGAAATCCACAGTTGTTTGTTGAAAGACATGTTCATCATACTGTTGGAATTATGGTTTGGGGTGCTATAGCGTATGGTTCCAGGTCACCTTTAATCTTCATCAGAGGTAACATGAACGCGCAGCGTTATATCCACGAAGTTCTAGAACCCCATCTTTTACCCTATCTTGACACCCTGGCAGATCCAACTTTCCAACAAGATAATGCCCGACCACATGTTGCAAGAGTCACAATAGACTTCTTTCAACATAATGATGTCACATTGTTACCATGTCCACCAAGATTCCTCGACTTATCCCCAATTGAGCACGTGTGGGATATGATGGGTAGGAGATTGCTCAATTTGCAACGTCCTCCTCAGACTCTAGAAGCACTTCGAGAGGAGTTGGTGGTTGCCTGGAATGAGATATCACAGGAGGACATTGACCACCTGATCAGAAGCATG